ACAGTAAACCTGCTCACTTTACCACAAATATACCAGCCAATCCCTCTCCAATGCCAGAAATACAGCTTAATGGTGTAACATTAGAAAAGGTTGACCATTTCTGCTCCCTTGGCAGCCACCTCTCCACCAAAGTCAACATTTGACACCGAAATACAACACCGCCTGAGCTCTGCAAGTGCAGCATTTTCCCGAATGAAGCAGAGAGTGTTTGAGGACCGGGACATCCGTAGGGAAACCAAGGTGCTTGTTTATAAAGCTATTTCTGCTCCCTTGGCAGCCACCTCTCCACAAACATCAACATTGACACCGAAATACACCACCACCTGAGCTCTGCGAGTGCAGCATTTTTCCGAATGAAGCAGAGAGTGTTTGAGGACCAGGACATCCGTAGGGAGACCAAGGGGCTTGTTTATAAAGCTATTGTCCTCCCAACCCTGCTATATGCCTGCAAAACATGGACTGTCTACAGACGTTACGTGCAACTCCTAGAACGATTCCATCAGTGCTGCCTCCAGAAAATCCTGCAAATCTCTTGGGAAAACAAGTGGACAAATGTCCATTACATTAGAAAATGTTGACCATTTCTGCTACCTTGGCAGCCACCTTTCCACCAAAGTCAACATTGACACCGAAATACAACACCGCCTGCAGGTTCTGCAGACTTAGATAGGGAGGATCGTTTGCAATTCAGGGTTCGCCCCAGTGCGAGGCTTGCTAACAAGAGAGAGGTTAGAGGTCAAAGGAATGTGTTCATGTTGGGAAAGTATATTAAATGAGCTGTTTGAAGTCAACTCTTTGTCAGTGCATCTTCTGCGAACACCCTGGTAACTTCTCTGGATTGCCTTGGCTTTTGGGCAATGCTTTTGGCTTCTTGGGACTTTGTCTTGTTCTTGGCTCCTTGGGACTCTGTCATGCTGCCATGGAATCTTGTTTGATCAAAGCCTATGGATTATGCTTCATGTTGTTTGCCATTGAGCTTTGGAAACTTTGCCTTTGTATTTAAGCCTCTGCTTTTGCCATTGAACTTTTGAAACCTTACTTTTATGTTAAAGTCTTTGCTTTTTCTTCAATAAACTACAAAACCTTCAGCCTTGGTGTGGTGTTCTGAGCAAGGTGAATCTATCCTGAGTTGCGACAGTGGGATTAACATAACTCAAAAACCACTGGACGAATTGCCACCAAATTTAGCAGCAAGACACATACTAATCCAATCCAAAAACTAGTCTTTCAAACAAAAAACCCCCTTTAAAATGAAGGGGAAATAACTTTATACTCCCCAAAAAGAAAAATACCTTACAGTGCATTCGCAAAAGCCCCCCTCGCCAGCGCGGGAGAAGAATGACGCACCAACCGTTGTGAGGGAAGAGAAGCCTAGCTCTGGAGTCCCTTTCCATGCATGAAAGCAGAGTCCTCTTTCTTTTGGGGAGGGGAGAGATTGAGGGAAGGAAAAAGGGAAGGAAGGAGAAGGACTGGCCAATGGAGGGCCCAGAGGCTTGGCGAGGCAAGCCCCGGCAGCAGCTGGAGCCACCGTAGAGTCTCCTTGAGGCCCAAGTGGCCACCAGGCAACCCTCCCCCCAAGACCAGAGGATTGCAAGGCAAGCCTGGCTGCACGAGCAGCTGCCCACAGTGAAGGAGCTGGCCTTGCCTGCTTCGGGAGCCAAGCGTGTGCACACAGCCACATACGCACACACACACACAGGGGCTCCCTTCCAACTGGATGGCCATGAGTTGGGAGGGCTTTAATGGTGTCTTCCTTTGCAGCCAATGGAGGTTGGGCTGCATAGCCTAAGGGGCTCCCTTCCAACTGGACGGCCATCTGTCGGGAGGGCTTTGGAGCTGAGACGTCTGCCATGTAGAGGCATTGAAGCCGCAGGCCCGCACCCGTTGTGAAAGAAGCCTCACCAGCAGTCAGAATGGCATGGGAAACCCTTTGGGGGATAGGAAGGTGCCTCAGAGGCCGTCCAGTCCGAACTCATTTTGCAGTAAGGGAAGACACCATCAAAGCCATCCCAACAGATGGCCATGCAGTTGGAATGAAGCCCCAAAGGTCATCCAGTTCAACCCCCTTTGGCCATAAATGAAGACACCATCAAGCCTTCCCTGGGCCACAGCAACGGAAACCCAGCTCTCTCTTTTTGTTCGTTACCATTAAACCACACATGGCCACAGCAACGCATGGCTGGGTACAGCTAGTAAATAAATAAATGTGGGTTGTTGTGTGTTTTCTGGGCTGTATGCCCATGTTCCAGAAGCATTCTCTCATGCCATTTCACCTGCATCTATGGCAGGCATCCTCAAAGGTAGTGAGGTTTATATATCTGTGGAATGTCCAGGACGGGAGAAAGAACTCTTTTTGTCTGTTTGACGCAGGTGTGAAGGTTGCAATTGGCCACCTTGATTAGCATTCAATGGCCTGGCAGTTGCAAGGTCTGGCTTCTTACTGCATGGGGGAATCCTTTGTTGAGGGGATTCTAAATGTGCCATTTTCAATAAAATAAAATAAAATAAAACATGACAAATATTAATGGCTCAGCCTTTTTGTCTGTCTGAGGCAGGTGTGAATGTTGCAATTGGCCACCTTGATTAAACAGTGTAATTGAACATAGGGATACGGAATGATGGATGATGAGACTGGATTCTGATTTTACTGTTGAGGCGCTAATGATTGTTATACGGATGTTTAATTATTTATGTTCCAATTGTTTTTAATTGCCCTATACTTGTCTCGTGATGTTTTGTATCGATGTTGTTCACCGCTTTGAGTCGCCTGAGGGCTGAGAAAAGCGGTATATAAATAAAGCAAATAAATAAATAAATATTTTATTGTCTATGTTTTTAATTGCTTGTATTGTTGTTATTATTGCTTGTATTGCTGTGTTTGGGCTCGGCCTCATGTAAGCTGCACCGAGTCCCTTGAGGAGATGGTAGTGGGGTACAAATAAAGTGCTAAAAGGTAAAGGTAAAGGTTGTCCCCTGACATTAAGTCCAGTCATGTTTGACTCTGGGGTGTGGTGCTCATCTCCATTTCTAAGCCGAAGAGCCGGCGTTGTCCATAGACACCTCCAAGGTCATGTGGCCGGCATGACTGCATGGAGTGCCGTTACCTTCCCACCTGAGCGGTACCTATTGATCTACTCACATTTGCATGTTTTCGAACTGCTAGGTTGGCGGGAGCTAGGGCTGACAGCGGAAGCTCACGCCGCTCCCTGGAATCGAACCTGCGATCTTTCGGTCAACAAGCTCAGCAGCTCAGTGCTTTAACCCACTGCGCCACCGGGGGCTCCAAATAAAGTGCTATTATTATTATTATTATTTTCCAAAAAATAATAAAATGTAACAAATATCAATGGCTCAGCCTTTTTGTCTGTCAGAGGCAGGTGTGAATGTTGCAATTGGCCGCCTTGATTAGCATTCAATGGCCTGGCAGTTGCAAGGTCTGGCTTCCTCCTGCCTGGGGGAATCCTTTGTTGGGGGGATTCTGAACGAGCCGTTTTCCAAAATATAATAAAACATAACAAATATTAACGGCTCAGCCTTTTTGTCTGTCAGAGGCAGGTGTGAATGTTGCAATTGGCCACCTTGATTAGGATTCAATGGCCTGGCAGTTTCAAGGTCTGGCCTCCTACTGAATGAGTGAATCCTTTGTTGGGGGGATTCTGAACGTGCCATTTTCCAAAATATAATAAAACATGACAAACATTAACAGCTCAGCCTTTTTGTCTGTCTGAGGCAGGTGTGAATGTTGCAATTGGCCACCTTGATTAGCTTTCAATGGCCTGGCAGTTTCAAGGTCTGGCTTCCTCCTGCCTGGGGGAATCCTTTGTTGGGGGGATTCTGAACGAGCCATTTTCCAAAATATAATAAAACATRACAAATATTAACGGYTCAGYCTTTTTGTCTRTYWGASGCAGGTGTGAATGTYRCAATTGGCCACCTTGATTAGGATTCAATGGCCTGGCAGTTTCAAGGTCTGGCCTCCTACTGAATGAGGGAATCCTTTGTTGGGGGGATTCTGAATGAGCCATTTTCCAAAATATAGTAAAACATGACAAATATTAACAGCTCAGCCTTTTTGTCTGTCTGAGGCAGGTGTGAATGTCRCAATTGGCCACCTTGATTAGSATTCAATGGCCTGGCAGTTTCAAGGTCTGGCCTCCTACTGAATGAGGGAATCCTTTGTTGGGGGGATTCTGAACGTGCCATTTTCCAAAATATAATAAAACATGACCAATATTAACGGCTCAGCCTTGGTGGATACCATCTCTGCATATCTAAGTGTTTCTTTCTTACCTGATCTGAATTGAAGGCCTCAAGCGTCCTCACCACCACCAAGCCTCGAATGAGGAGCCAAAGTGGCAGCTAAGAACAGGGAAAAGAGTCCAAATTAAGGAAATTCAAGTGTCTGGCCCTCTGTTGTGACAGTTCTTTGTGTTCCCCTGCTTGGCCAAGGCTTGGTTTGGACGGCCTTCCTTTGTAGGCCTCGACTGAGGGCGAAACAGAGCAATGGCGGCCAGGTAAACAAACGCGTGCCCACCGCGCATGCGCTCTCAGTGGAAGTGGCAGGGATAAACCTAGGCGTGCCCACTGCGCATGTGCCCTCAGTGGAAAGGGCAGGGATAAACCTTCCGCGTTCCCACTGCGCATGCGCCCTCAGTAGAAATGGCAGGGATAAACCTTCGGCGTGCCCACTACGCATGCGCCCTCAGTAGGAAGGGCAGGGATAAACCTAGGCGTGCCCACTGCGCATGCGCCCTCAGTAGGAAGGGCAGGGATAAACCTAGGCGTACCCACTGCGCATGCGCCCTCAATAGGAAAGGCAGGGATAAACCTTCGGCGTGCCCACTGCGCATGCGCCCTCAGTACGAAGGGCAGGGATAAACATCGGCGTGCCCACTGCGCATGCGCCCTCAGTGGAAGTGGCAGGGATAAACCTAGGTGTGCCCACTGCGCATGCGCCTCGGGAAGAACCTCCTTTTCTTCCTCCTCCTCTTGATGACCCGGAAGCGGAAGCTGTGGGCCGGACTCTCTTTCACAGAGGAGGAGGAGCCCGCAGCGGCCTCTCTGCCCGGTCAGGCGGGGCGGGAAGGAAGCGGAAGGCGAGGAGCCAGGAAGGAAAGGAGGAAGGAAGGAAGGAAGGGAGGGAAAACCGCCACGCCAGGCCTGTAAGTGGACTCTCTCTGAGGGAAAGGGATCCTGGCTGAGGCCTACCAGGAAGGGAAATGCCATTTAGAGCAGGCTGAGGCCTACTTGGGCCTTCTAGGCGTTGTGGACTCCAACTCCCAGCATTCCTCACAGCCTCAGCCGCTTAAGTGTCTGAGGGGGAAAAGGAAGGGGCCTGAGGCTGTGAGGAATGTTGGGAGTTGGAGTCCACAACGCCTAGAAGGCCCAAGCTGGCCCAGGCTGATTCAGAATTGAGAACTGGGTATCTTGGGCCCTCTCCTGCCCACATTCCCCTTCTTCCATCCTCTTCTCTGGCCATCTGTTGGGAGGGCTTAGGTTGTGCCCATTAGGTCCCTTCCATCTCAAGGATTCTCTCTTTCTCTCTCTAGTCTAGAGGTTTGTCAGCAGAGGCTGGGTGGCCATCTGTTGGGAGGGCTTGCATTGTGTCCATTAGGTCCCTTCCTTGGATTGTCCCTTCCATCTCAAGGATTCTCTCTCTTATAGATTATTTAACTCTTAGAGCAGTGGTTCTCCCCCCTCGGAGTCCCCAGGCGTTTTGGCCCACAACTCTCAGAAATCTCAAGTCAGTTTACCAGCGCAGTGGGTTAAACCCCTGTGCCGGCAGGACTGAAGACCGAAAGGTTGCAGGTTTGAATCTGGGGAGAGGCGGATGAGCTCCCTCGATCAGCTCCAGCTCCTCGTGCGGGGACATGAGAGAGGCCTCCCACAAGGATGATAAAAAACATGAAATCATCCAGGCGTCCCCTGGACAACATCCTTGCAGACGGCCAATTCCCTCACACCAGAAGCGACTTGCAGTTTCTCAAGTCGCTCCTGACACGATTAAAAAAAACAGCTGTTCAGATTTCTGGGAGGTTAAAACATCTGGGATCCCATAGGTTGAGAACCACTGTCTTAGACGGTTGGACTAGATGGCTCCTGAGGTCCCAACTCAAGGATTCTATCTATCTAGCTGTCTATCTGTCTGTCTTAGGGGGTTGGACAATGGCTCTAGAGGTCCCTTCCAACTCAAGGATTCTATCTATCTATCTGTCTTACAGGGTTGGACTTGATGGCCCTTGAGGTCCCTTCCAACTCAAGGATTCTGTCTGTCTGTCTGTCTGTCTTAGAGGGTTGGGCTTGATGGCCCTTGAGGTCCCTTCCAACTCAAGGATTCTGTCTATCTGTCTGTCTTAGAAGGTTGGACTGGATGGCCTTTGAGGTCTCAACTCAAGGATTCTATCTGACTGTCTGTCTGTCTTACAGGATTGGACATTCTATCTATCTAGCTGTCTATCTGTCTGTCTTAGGGGGTTGGACAATGGCTCTAGAGGTCCCTTCCAACTCAAGGATTCTATCTATCTATCTGTCTTACAGGGTTGGACTTGATGGCCCTTGAGGTCCCTTCCAACTCAAAGATTCTGTCTATCTGTCTGTCTTAGAAGGTTGGACTGGATGGCCTTTGAAGTCTCAACTCAAGGATTCTATCTGACTGTCTGTCTGTCTTACAGGATTGGACTTGATGGCCCTTGAGGTCCCAACTCAAGGATTCTATCTATCTATCTGTCTTACAGGGTTGGACTTGATGGCCCTTGAGGTCCCTTCCAACTCAAGGATTCTGTCTGTCTGTCTGTCTTAGAGGGTTGGGCTTGATGGCCCTTGAGGTCCCTTCCAACTCAAGGATTCTATCTATCTGCCTGCCTGTCTTAGAGGGTTTGACTTGATGGCCCTTGAGGTCCCTTCTAACTCAAGGATTCTATCTATCTATCTATGGTCTCTCTATCTATCTGAACAGGGTTGGACTGGATGGCCCTTGGGGTCTCTTCCAATTCAGGGATTCTATCTATCTATGAATTATCTATCTATCTGTCTAAGGAGGTTGGACTAGATGGCCCTTGGGATCTCTTCCAATTCTGGGATTCTACCTGCCTATCTATCTATGAATTATCTCTCTATCTATCTATCTATCTATCTATCTGAGAAGGTTGGAGTGGATGACCCTTGGGGTGTCTTCCAATTCTAGGATTCTATCATGTTATTGGCTAGCTAGCTGTCTAAGGAGGTTGGACTGGATGGCCCTTGGGGTCTCTTCCGATTCTGGGATTCTATCTATCTATTTATGAATGATCTGTCTGTCTGTCCGTCTTAGAGGGTTGGACTGGATGGCCCTTGAGGTCCCTTCCAACTCAAGGAGTCTGTCTGTCTTAGAGGGTTGGACTTGATGGCCCTTCCAAATCAAGAATTCTATCTATCTATCTATCTATCTATCTATCTATCTATCTATCTATCTATCTATCTATCTATCTATCCTACTTTTATTCTACAGTACTGCTGCACCCACTCTGTCAGGGTTTGTTATGATATTACACTACACTGCCAAAATATGCAACCAGTATGGAAAATGTGCACAATTATATTAGGATTCGATGAGTTTTTGATCCTGGGTGTTTTGAGGATGAGCCGTTGGAAATGCTTGTTCTTTTCCAGGAATGGCCCCTTGAGGATGAGGCTCTCTCAATTATTGGGTGAAAGGAGGCCTCTCACAACTAGGGCAAAGAAGCAAAGTGTGGGAAGTGCTCTGGGCACACGTGGTTTTGTCTCGCTAGTCCACAATATCTTCTTCTCTTATAGGCAAGGGGCTCTAGATGCAAAAGGTGTTTGATCTAGAACTTTCAAGTGTCCCGCTTCCCCCCCCCCCCCTTCTTCCACTTTCCTCGTTCATCCTTGGTTTACTTCAGCAGCTGCAATGTCGAATTCCAAAGACAGAAGTAGTAATGTTGTACAGGGAAGGGCACAGCAGACCCTTGCCGTTCTCTGTAGACCACTGTTTCAGAGGGGTCGCCAAAGACCATCAGAAAACAGATTTCCTTCGCTGTGATTGGCTGGCCTCTCAGCCACAGGGAGGGGAGAGCAGGTGTGGTCAGTGCATGGCAGCGTGGTGTGCAGTATTTCTCCAATCCCTTGGGGGTTCCCCCAGGACCCCTCCTGGGGGAGTTGTAGGTGGTTTTTTTCACGAGGGATCCCTCCAAGGATCCCATCAAAAATATGTATTTTTTCTTTTCCCTGTGATTTTGGCGCTTTTGGCCCCCCCCTCGTCTCATCCTGGGGAGGGCTCTTGTTCTGAAGACTCCAAGGCACGGGAGGGGGAGAGCAGGATTGTTTTGGGTCCCCAGTAAAACAATGGGGCTTTGCCGGTGTGGTGTGCACTGTGGTGTTTTCCTCACCCTGGGGGGGGTCCAGGACCTCCTGGGGGAGTTTTGTTTGGGAGGGTGGGTTTTTTTTTTTTTCACTACAAATGTGCAGTGTCTTTAACAGCATATTGTAGTAAGTTTTTTTTTTTTTCCCCCCTTTTGCTGTGATTTAGGATGTCACACTGAGGAGGGGGGTAAGCTTGTTTTTGTTTTTTATTCCCTGCCCCCCCAAACAATCTAGGAATTAATTAAAGGGAGGCTCCATAAAATCTAAAATGTCTGCGTTGGTGGGGGGTTGGGGCATGTGTTTCCTCAACCTGGGGGTCCCAAGGACCTTTCTTTTGTTGTTGTTGTGAGGGGTTTTTTTTTTTTTTTCAGAGGGAAATCGCCCCGAGACCATAACAAAATATTGTTTTTACATTTTTCCTTTGCTGTGATTGGCTGGCCTCTCAGCCATGGAGAGGGCTCTTTCTGAGACTCCAAGCAGGGAGGGGAGAGCAGGTGTGGTCAGTACATGGCAGTGTGGTGCGCAGTATTTTTCAATCTGTGGGTCGGGACCTCTGGGAGGGGTCGTGAGGTGGTTTCAGATGAGTCGCCAAAGACCATCAGAAAATATATATTTCGAATGGTCTTAGGAAGCCCTTTGGCAGAGAAGGCTCTCTGCCTGTCCTTCTCTTCCTTTTTGGGAGCAGACGGCAAATCCTCCCACCAAAAGCCCTTCTCCAATGGATTGACAGGCCTCTCAGCCAAGAGGAGGGCTGTTCCTGAGACTCTGAGCAGGTGTACTCGGTGCATGACAGCATGGTGCGCATGCGTAGGCAAGGGAGAGCGTGCAAGGCTGGAGGGAGGCTCGTGCCAAGGCATGAGGGTTCTGTGTGGGAAGTTTGGTCCAATTCTTTCGTTGGCTGGGTTCAGAATGCTCTTGGATTGTAAATAAACTATAAATCTCAGCAAGTACAACTCCCAAATCACAAAATCAACCCCCCCCCTCCCCCAAACCCCACCAGTATTCAAATTTGGGTGTATCGGGTATTTGTGCCAAATTTGGGCCAGTGAATGAAAATACAGTACTTCCTGCATATCAGATATTTACATTATGATTCATAGGTAAAGGTAAAAGTTTTCCCTTGACATTAAGTCCAGTCATGTCCGACTCTGAGGGTTGGTGCTCATCTCCATTTCTAAGATACCTCCAAGGTCATGTGGCCGGCATGACTACATGGAGCACTGTTACCTTCCCGCCAGAGCGGTACCTATTAATCTACTCACATTTGCATGTTTTCAAACTGCTAGGTTGGCAGAAGCTGGGGCTGACAGCAGGAGCACACCCTGCTTCCCAGATTCGAACCTGCGACCTTTCGGTCAACAAGCTTAGCAGCTCAGTGGTTTAACCCACTATGCCTCAGGGGCTGTTATGATTCATAACAGTTGAGAGGTGATTAGATGTCCCAGATTGTTTCCTCAGGCACATCTAATCACCTCTCGACAAAAGATTGCCTCAGGCACTGCCAGACCATCAAATGCTAATCAAGGTGGTCAGTGAAACATTCCCACCTAGCTCCAGCAGACAAGGGTTCTTTGCCCCACCCTGGTCATTCCACAGATATATAAACCCACTTTCCTAGTCCCAATAGACTCACTACCTCTGAGGATGCTTGCCATAGATGCAGGCGAAACGTCAAGAGAGAATGCCTCTGGAACATGGCCATATAGCCCCGAAAAACCTACAACAACCCAGTGATTCCTCTCTGTTGTTTTGCTGTTGTAAATTTAGAGGTTTTTTTAAATACTGGCAGCCAGATTTTGTTCAT